AATCCAGCATTATATAAAGAAAGAAAAAAAAAAAAAAGTACAGTTATGAAAGTAAATAGAAGGAAATAAATAAAAAAAAAAGGTCAGAGCAGAGGGCACAGAGCATCTAACAAACTTCACCAGGAATGTAATTAACTAGAAAATTGCAGGGTGTAAAAAGCGAAGGAAAAACACGCAGGAACATGTCAAATTCAGTTAGCAAAAAACAAAGTCATTACAGTAACCTAAGGGGCAAAAAAATACGAGAATAGAAGATGTTGTTTACAAAGCACAGTGCAAGGGTTTGCTGATACGGAGTGCATGACAAAATAGAATATCACAAATATAAATAAACGAAGATTGTACCTGGCGAGCATCAAGTTTACACTTTGTTTTGCTTCACAGCACCCAGCAAAGTGATCATTTCCTTTTAAGTTGAGGAGGACCACAAGGCACGAGCCATTTATAACCATCCAGAAGGTCACAGATAAAGTGGTTTGCAGTCCCTGCAATGTCACAGCCCCCTTGCAGATAACAGGGATCTAGTTTGGATTCCAGGACATACAATTGTAAAAATAGAAAAGCCAGAACAAAAAAACTGGACTGAATAGAACCATCAGCCGGTGATATTGAATGTTCTTAGTCCAAGCATCCATGGAAAATGTATCATTAAAAATCATCAGGAAAGTCAAACTCATTTCTGAGGTTGTTTCTTCTAAACAACTTTGTTCTCTTTATCCTTAAGCTACTTAGGTTTTTACTGCTTTATTTACCTGCGGCTGCCTATGGCTGGAATAAACAAAAGCACATTCCACATCTGATTAAACAATTTACAGCAGGGGTGGATGACGTAATCTGGAATTCAGGAGCCAGTCTGTGCAATCCAGGAGCCAGCAGGATTTTCTAGGAGCCGACTCCATTGACTAACAACTAAAGGAAACATCTAAGGCCTGGTTCACACCTGGGCGTTTTGTAGCGCGTTCGAACGCTCTGCAAAACCGAAATCCCATTATTTCCTATGGGTATGGTTCACACCTGGGCGTATTACAGGCCGTATGAACGCGCTACAAAACACCCTACGCCCAAAGAAGTACAGGAGCTTCTTTGGGGCGTTTTTGTCATGCGTTTCCATTGGGATACAGCCAAGTAGCACTCGGAAACGCGGGTTTGTTGCGCGGGTTTTTTTTTACCGCGAATCGCGGTAAAAATGCGCATATTCGATACGCCTAGGTGAACCCAGCCTAAAGTAAAGCTGCCCATACACCTATAGATGATCTGCGGATTTTCTATGGTCAGATGGAAGAAGTGCAACAGATTCCTCCATCTACGCTAAACTGTGTGGCTGGAGGAATCTCCCACTGGGCCAAGCTTCAGTATCTTGCTAGTAGGCCCCGCTGGCTGTCCAAATACCTGAACAATCTGATTGGATGCAGACATTGTTCAGGGATTTAGAGAGCCAGTGGGGACGACAAACGAGATACCGACACTTGGCCCAGTGGGAGATTCCTCCATCCACACAGTTTAGCGTAGATGGAGGAATTTGTTGCACTTTGTCCATCTGACCATAGAAAATCTGCAAATAATCTATAGGTGTCCGGCCAGCTTTAGGCACCAGCTGTCATTTCTAAGAAGCACTGTCCGATCCGCCAGCACTGACTGGCGGAACGGATGGGGGAGGGGCGGGTACAGCTGGCTCTGCCTCTAGATAGGCAGAGCCAGCTGTCAATCATGCAGCTGGGTGGATCCAGACAGTAATGTCGGGATCCGTCCCGGCTGCGGCGTCTCAGTATACCGCGAGCACTGAGCTTTGGGTGACGGGAGGACGTTAATGTGTGTCCTCCCATTACCCTTAGGAGAACTATGGGGAAAAGCCCTGAACCCATAGTTCTCCTTTAACTCTTGCATTGTGACTACAAGCACCGCGTAGATCAATGGTGGTCAACCAACTTGGTATAGAGGGCTTTAAAAGGAGAACTATGAGATGAGTGATTTCCACTCACCTTATAGTTCTAAGCCGACCTGTGACATTGAGAGGTCGGCTCAGTAGATCGGGAGGTGAGCGAACACATACCGGGTTCCCTCACCTCTCGATCCTGTCATGGCTCTCTGCCGTGACAGGGGGAGGGGCTGGATTCCCCTCTCCGATCTGCCAGCGCTGACTGGTGGAACGGACGGGGGAGGGGGCGGGTACAGCTGGCTCTGCCTCTAGATAGGCAGAGCCAGCTGTCACTCACGCAGCTGGGCGGATCCCATCATCTACGTCGGGATCCGCTCCAGGTGCGGCGTCTCAGTATACCGCGAGCTGTAGCTCGCGGTATACTGAGCTTAGGGTGACGGGAGGACGCTAGTTTGTGTCCTCCCGTTACCCTAAGGAGAACTATGGGGAAAAACACTGACCCCATAGTTCTCCTTTAAGTGCAGTCCCTGACATCAAAGAGCCGCACATAATATTTAGTGAACGTAATGCTGCATAATGAGATCAGAGATTGAAGGTATATTATAAGAGATTGTCATATTGTAGAACGGGGTAGCGAAACATGGTGGAACTACAAATCCCATGATCCATTGCAAGACTGAGTCACAGGCATGACTCCAAGAGACTGATGCATGATGGTATTTGTAGTTTCACCACAGCTGGAGAGCCAGCATTTAACTGCCCCCGCTGTAGACATTTTTGGTGACTAAGGAGATTCTTCAGGAGACAGCCATAGACTGGAGACACATTACATGACACTGGTTAATATCACTGCCATTACAAATCAATAAGCCCACATTATGCATCCCAAATCCACCTTAATCACTTCTGCCACATTTATCTCTTCTACAGAGAAATACCAAAAGATCAATGAAAAAAAAAAAAGTCAGATAATGGGAAAGAAATAAGCCAAATCACTACGTAAAATGTCTTAAAGCCCAACTACTAGCAAAACAAGACCCCCCACCCACCTCTGTCTAACCGATCGCTGGCATGAAGAGGAGAAAAGAAATGCCCTCTTCACTTGCCTAAAGCCATGGTCACATGACGCTTGAGGCCCAAATCTTCTCCCCTTTTCTGTTCACATCCAGTAGGGTCCTTTTCTTGGCATCCATGTCGCATCCAGTGCGAGATATACATCACGAGTGTCAGGTCAGGAACCACGCCAGGAAAGGAACCCAGATGGGGGACATAAGCAAGTATAGCTTGCTTCAAAACCAAAAAACAGTGCAGGATGGGTAGGAGGAGGGGGGTCAGGTTTTCACCAGAGTTGGGCTATAAGAATATATCACTTTCACTAACTTGATCAAACACTAAAAACACAGAACAGTGTCCGCAGGGAATCCGAGGGCCACACAGTATGTACCAATGGGCCGCAGGTTAGGCATCAGGATTGTAGATACAAAATGCTTCTTTACTATAAAACAAGTCTCTTCTGCCAACAGCTGGCAGGAGACGGACTCAGGCTGGCAGCAACCTCAGTTTTGCCACCTACACAGATGTAAACCCTTAAAGTGTCTCTGAAAGCCAGCCTTTCCCAACCAGGGTTCTTCCAGAGTTTGATGAAGGGGGGCTGGTCCTTGAGCTGTGGTGGACTGACTCATCTGATAATGCCAAAGAGCCGCAGGTCTCTTCTGCCAACAGCCAGCAAGAGATGGACCCAGGCTGGCAGTGAGCTCACAGTTTTGCCACCTACACAGATGCGAGACATTAACGCGTTTCCCAACCAGGGTTCTTCCAGAGATTGCTGGAAGATCCTCGAGCTGTGGCGGATGGACCTCTTATCTGACGGTGCCTGCATAGTACCAATGCCAGTTAGCAGAGGCATGGGACTAGTGAAGCTTCTCCGCTGTCCCCATGCTAGAAACCACTGGACACCAATGGAAGAAGCATTCTCCCCATTGTACAGGGGGACATTAGACTGACCTCCAGTGTAAGGGTCACCACACACATCTGACCCCACAATCTTTGTGTACAGATCTATTCGGAGGACCTACCTAATCTATCCCAACAGACAGGCCCCCGCACTACATAGTTGTTGGTAACCCTTTCACACGGCGGTCAGTCAGTCCATTTTTTTTAGACTGCAATACATCCCAATGGGCGACCAGATGCAAGTGCCCGTGCGTCCTCCTATAACCACCCACCTCCGGGTCCGTTTAGGTTCCTCGTACTGAACGCAAAAACATTTGCGTCAAGGTTGAGATGTACCCAGGGGCCCATGGTCCTCAAAGTAAACACCTGCCTGGCAAAGAGCTCCCCAATT